CCGGCAGATAGTAGAACACCTCTTCTAGCACTGAGGACATGTCCCCCATCATCCTTTTTGGGTTTTCTTGAAATAAACAATTTTGAATTTTTCCACTCGACCATTCTGAAATACGTCCAAACTCATACCTGCGCAGGAAAGGTCGCCCCTCCGCGACGTCTAGTCAACAATTTCTACTCCAACACCAATCCCAACGCTGCAGAACAAAGTGTATTGTTTACTCTGACAAGGAAAAGCAGCGGTGATCACTTGTCACTCCAAACGACAAACTTCTCCTTGCGACATCAACTTTTTTCGGTGCAACAGTTGATGCAAAAGTGACTGAATTTTTTTGAAAATTTTTGGATTTTACTGCAAGAGGAGTGAAGAAATCATGTGGATCGTGACGTAGAATAATTCTTTCTGGTGCACGACACAATGCACGCGATCACGATCGTTCCTGAGGCGCTATTCGAAACGGACCATTAGGGACTTTTGCATCAACTTTTGCACCGCAAAATGTTGGTGGCGCAAGGAGAAGCTTGTCGTTTGGAGTGACAAGTGATCACCACTGCTTTTCCTTGTCAGAGTAAACAATACACTTTGTTCTTCAGCGTTGGGAGTGGTGTTGGAGTAGAAATTGTTGACTAGACGTCGCGGAGGGGCGAGCTTTCCTGCGCAGGTATGAGGTTGGACGTATTTCAGAATGGTTGTTGTGAACCCCCTGGTTCTCTAAAGTGTCAGGAACGAACGACCCCACACGGCACGAGGACAACTATTTATTCTCAACAATATCTTTCACTTCCATCGACTAATAACAATGAAACAATGAATGGAACAACTGAATGAACTGAATAACTAACACTAAAACCACTAGGTAGTTATAGCGTGAAAATGACAGCGTATATGAGAAAAGCATACACATACAACATACAACTACAGCGCACACAGCAAACCGCACATAGCGCATGTAGCGTATACTACGTCGTAATCATCAGCGGTACGGCGGAGTCGGCATACAGCTGCATTGAAACGAACACAATGTCACAAGCGAGAAGGCCTTTCACTCTCGAGAACCTGTCGTTTCACAACATTCTCCCCACCAAAGGGCTTCTCACCGCCGTACAACAACTCACAAGTCACACGATTTGGGGCTTACTACGCGTTATCTGCTGCTGCGGTGGTGGCCATGGTAGAATATCACTAATGCCCACCAATTCGGCCAACTCGATTTTGTGAAGCTTGCCGCTGTGGGCTGTTGCACACGACACTGCCACCGATCCACTTCGACATGGGGCGGACGCTGGACCAAACAACACACAACCCATAATGTCATAAAGCTCGACGATGTGGGCTGTCACACACGACATGGTCACCGGTACACTGCTTCGACCCGGGGCGGGCGCGGAATCCGAGGACACACATCGGATCTCTGTGTTCCACACAGTCTCGCCGCTTACATCTTCCGTGCTAACCAGTAGTATCGCCCTTCTCATTTTCTCGGCTTCTACGCCTTGCGTTTCTAAGTCTTGCGCCTCTAACTCTTGCGCCTCCAACACTTGCGCCTCCAACTCTTGCGCCTCCAACTCTTGCGCCTCCAACTCTTGCGCCTCCAACTCTTGCGCCTCCAACTCTTGCGCCTCCAACTTGTTCGGCCGAGACTCCAGCTGCTTCTGAGCGTCTCCGACCGATGTCGCCATGCACTGTACCGACCCAGTGGGCCTCGGATCTGATCCTCCCACTGGCTTCGAATACTCTTCTGACCGCTGCTTGTCTGCAAGCAAAGTCTTACACGCCTTGTCCGGCGTCCTTCCGGGCGAGGCAAGCAAATCTCGCTTTGCTTCCTCATAATATGTATTGACGGCGATGCGCTCCGCCATCTTCTTGAGCTTTTCGTTAAACTCTGCGCGGAGCGCACACTCTTGCCGTCTAGCACTGCGCTCTTCAAACTCCTCGCTCTGTCGGAGCCTCTTCTCCACGTATTCTCTCAACCTATCGCCTTCAAATCCATACCGAATTCCGTTGGCGATAAAGCTGGCTTCAATGATCCATAGTTCCTGTGCCATGCTCGCTTCGTATCCTGGCGTGGTCGCCAAATGTTGTGAACCCTGCAAGATTCTCTAAATTGTCAGGATCGTACGACCACACGGCACGAGGACAACTCTTTTCCTGTACACAGTATATTTCACTTCATCTGATAATTAAAAATGAACACTAATAACACCAGCTATTTATAGCGTGCAGAAACAGCGTACATGCAAAACATAAGCATATAAAACTGGACATAACAGCGTATACAGCAAAAACGCACACAACGCATATAGCGTATGCCATGCAGCAACATCAGCGGTACGGCGGAGTCGGCATACAGCTGCATTGAAACGAACACAATGTCACAAGCGAGAAGGCCTTTCACTCTCGAGAACCTGTCGTTTCACAACAATGGTCGAGTGGAAAAATTCAAAATTGTTTATTTCAAGAAAACCCAAAAAGGATGATGAGGGACATGTACTCAGTGCTAGAAGAGGTGTTTTACTATCTGCTGGTGTATAGTGTTTGCTAATTGAGGACGTAGCTCGCTGTTTTATCAGCGCTTGTAATTTGGTTTTTTTCAAGACGATCATTTGTGGCGTCAAGGGATGATTGCCCTCGTCTTCTGGGATGCTAGCGTGGCTAAGTGGTGCTGCCCCAAGAACTCTTCTAAGGTGAGGTAATGTTGGCTTGATGGAGTTTTGTTCGTAACTTGTTCTTGTACGCTGTGCCGTGGCTCGTTTGTAGACCCATAAATCGTGCCAATATTGGGCCAATATTGAGGGGTATACCAATTCCATGGTTCTCTTCAAAAGATTTTGTGCGGGCTTTGGAATGTCGATCTACACCCCAAAGCAAACCTACCTGCAAAATTTGAGCGAAATCTGAGAGATCGACTTGCACATATCTTCTGGTTTTCTCAGACATGCTCTCTTAATATTACAAACACACCTAGAAGACCATACAAACACTAACACAATAACACAACAGTCTTCTTTTCAAGATAATGGGAGATAGTTATTATAGGTCCGTTTTGAAACGCAAGATGCCCAATCTGAACTCCATGCAAAATCACCGATTACATGCTGACTTCTACATTTGTAGCACCACAAACATTATCATTATCATTGTCATTGTGTTAAAGTTGATATAATTATTGTACAGTTGCTACCCGTGTTACTCAATGCACGTCCATATGCAATGTTCATAAAAAAACTCAGTTTCGGTGAACAAGCGGCTCATTTTTGATAAAATCCGTACTTTGTTGTGTTTCTTTTTTCTTTTGCACGCATGCCGGGTTAGGATCCTTTCCCTAGAAGAGACGCTGTGCTGTTTTGAAGTTCACACATGTTGCTAAAATAATATGAGTGATACTTTTTCCTATATGTACCTTTCGTCCCATTTGCATCATTATAGTCCTTTTCTAGTCCCTTTCAAAATTCTTAAAATGTTCTAAAAAATAACTCAATAATCATTTGGACTCGAACCTGTGACAATCGGTCATGCCCCCCAATGCCCCACCACTCGAACCAGGGACCTTGCTATTCACCAGCAATGAGCTACAGTATGACTCTTATCCACAGTGATAGTAAATCTATCATCATTGCTCGCGAATAGCAAGGTGCCTAGTTCGTGTCCCAGTGGTGTGACTGATGGTTTTTTCTTTCTTTAGTATCTGGCTTGCAAGTGTTGAGTTTCGGAGAGAAAAGTGCAGTACGTGGCATGTGGCCTCTAATTTCCTAAAACTTTGAAATTCTTTGAAATTCTCCGTGATGTCCAAATTTGAAATTGCAATTGTTATATGCTCGCAGTGGACATAGTTTGATGCGCTCCCCATGATATCAAGCGAATGGCCGAGGGCCCTCTTGATTGGCATGAGTTGCCAGTATGATGGAAGCCAGATATAGAGTGATCGAAGGATGATAGATTTACGATCAGCGTGGATAAGAGTCATACTGTAGCTCAGTTGGTTAGAGCATTGCTCGCGAATAGCAAGGTCCTTGGTTCGAGTTCCGGTGGTGTGACTGATGATTTTTTCTTTCTTTCATATCTGGCTTGTAAATGTTGAGTTTCGGAGAGAAAGGAGCAGAACGTGGCATGTGGCCTCTAATTTCTTAACAATTTATCATGTTCATTTCCTTGAGGAAAAGGTTCAAAGGGGAAAAATTATGCTCAGCAGCAGGACTCGAACCTGTGACAATCGAGTATACTCAGCGACACCCTACCAATAAGCACTCTACTACTAGGTGCCGTCCAAGCAGCGATCGGCCGAGCGTTCAACTTTTTGCTCCTACTTAGAATCTCTCGCTTCCTCTGAATCACACAAGCTGGTGGGATGCAAGGAACGTACATGACATTTAGTGTTTTAATTGCGGGGTTTGCAGATAGTGCGAATTTCACGATGTTAATTTCACTTTTTTCTTTCTTAACATTTAGCTCCGATCAAGTTTTCGACAGCAATCACGTGACGATTTAGCAAAACCATGCTATCAATACATATGACTGGGCATTTTTTGATAGGTTATGTAACATATACCCGGCGGTACTACCTACATCATAATTATCATAAGAGACGATTTAAACAATGCATCTATTCAAAGCAGACATTTTGATATAAGATTCTAAGAACACAGTGTCTCAGGTTGCATCACCTCTTGTCAGGTGTGACAGAGTTCGCAAGAAGGAGATGTCTCATCTCCGGTAACACCAAATCAAGCGGTGAGGTGAAGAGAAATAAGGAAATAGAGATAGTGAGTGAGTGTGGGGGGGGGGGGGTGTTGGTGTGAATGTGAGTGGGTGGTTGTTTGTGTGGGTGTGTATGTATATGTGTGTTTCCATCTCTCAGCTCAAGATGTAAAAGATAAAAATGTGTCAGATAAAAATGCAAGCGACTAGAAATAGATGTCAACTTCAAAACGTGACAAATATACAGGGTTTCCAGCTACTTATTCGGGAAACACAACTTTCAACTTCTACAAGATTTACCTCCTAGGACGAGTTGTTACTTCTATAGGGATTTTTGGTATTGAAGTCGTATACGTTGCCCTGCATGGCAAGTAAATTGCGCTTGGAAGGATCGTTGAATTCAGTGAAATATGGATGATCGTGACTGGACTTCGGAGAGTAGTGTCGACTCAGATGCACTCTCACCACTTCCACCTTTAGTGATATGGACCAGCAGAAGGTCAGCTGCGTGTCCTCCCCCGCAGAATGTAAAATCTTTTCGTACTCCTTACACATGTACAGCTCATCACCACGCACACGCCGTTAGTGGGAATCAAGTAGCGACCTCAGATGCCTCCTTTGCCTATTATGCACAGCAGCATACCTCAATCAGCCCTTGGAAAACGCCATCATTTACAGCCGAATTACCGTCAGATCATGCATCGCTGGGCATAAGAGACCAGTTCGGGGATTCTCGACCAGTGTGCCAGAGGAACGAAGATACACACACTATTGACATGTCAACAACAGCTGTCGAAATCTCATGCTCGAATCCCATGATATCGGCAATGGACTTAGACGAAAGATCGCAAGACAGCGGTAACCAAACTGTGAACTATCCAGTCTCAGTTTCAGATCACTACGCCGGACTCGAGCACGTACCAATTAACTCGGAAAAAGGCAACTTCCCAAACAAATCTGCCGAAGTGGACCATCACAGCATCGGACATGTTCCAGTATCTCCTCTAGCGCCAAGGGTATCTGCCAAACATCACGATCGTCAAAAGCTCAACTATCAGCACATCTCGGAGTCCTGTTCTGAGGAAGATAGTCAACTTCTACATGACTTTCCTCAGGATCATACCTCGCTCATCAAGGAAACCGGGGTGTCACTTGATCGCCAGCATGATATTCGTGATCGTGCACATTCACAATCTGGAGAAGAGCCTCAGAAATGTAAGCATTGCGATAAGTCATTCTCTGCGCAATCCTGTCTAATATCTCATGAACGTACACACCCCGAAGAGAAACCGTTCAAGTGTAAGGTTTGTGATAAAACTTTCAACAAGCGATATAGTCTGGTCTGTCATGGTCGAGTTCACTCAGGAGAGAAACCCTTTCTGTGTACGTACTGCGCTAAATCATTCAGTCAGAAATCCAGCTGTACTGCTCATGAACGCATCCATACAGGGAAGAGGCCGTTTAAGTGTGATCATTGTGACCAAGGTTTTTCCAAAAGTTATGCCCTTAGAGTTCATAAGTTTACACATACTGGAGAGAAGCCTTTCAAGTGTAAACGATGTGATAAGTCATACAGGCAGTCCGCGCATCTCATTAACCATCAACGCATCCACACTGGGGAGAGACCTTACAAGTTTACAGAATGTGGCAAGGCATTCACGCGAATGTTGAATCTCACAGCTCATCAATCCTTCCATACTGGAGAGAAACCATTTTCTTGTAGGGAATGTGGAAGGTCTTTCACTACGAAATCCAGCCTAACACGTCACGAACGAATCCATCACTGAGAGAAACTGATCAAGTGTGGGCGATGCGTCTTTCAATGCCAAACACCACGAGGAAGACCACACGTATACCAACACACGAAACATTATGCAAAATGCCAGCATTACATGTCCGTTTGGATCCGCAAATAGCGTCATTGCCGATTACAGGTCAATCTGATATCCTTGCAAAGGTCACTGCTTATTTGCTACCTTCAACATGTGTAACACCCAAACCACTATCATTATTATTGTATTTCGGTTGATATCCACTGTTGCATGCCTTGTTTTCTATTTCAGTTCCGACACAGCACGAACATGTTTCTATATTTACCATGCATTAAAAATGTCATTGCGCTGAACGTTCCTGAATGGTTCATTTTTGATAAATCTGTAATGAATTTTGTCGACTATCCTACTTCCTTTTCTTGGAAGAGGCGCTGTGCTGTTTTCAAGTTTGACCACCAAGCTAAAATGTTATGTCTATATTTACCCTTGGTCCCATGTGTAATAATTGTTGTATAGTAACGTTTTAGTCTTTCTCAAAACTTGTCAAATATTTTACGTTCTAACATCTCACGGTTCATATGTTTGATGAAAATGGAAATCACAGTGAAACGAGTTATGAAGCAAATATCCGCGACTGTAACAAGATAATAAACAGTCAGGAAGTGTGTTAACAGGGCACACAACTGACATGTTACTGAGACATTCAACAACCTGAGACCTAGCTCTCATACACTTCCAGTTTCCAAACCAACAGACTTCCAGCTTGATAGGTTTAAAGGTATGTGATTGTGATTAGGTCATTTCTTCTATTTTAACTCGGATACTGAGCCACTGCTTATCATCTTTTTACAGACGTGGAGAGTTGCTGCGTAGCTTGTTCTCATGTGTTTTCTTCTCCTTTCATTCTATTTATTGGCTCAGTATCCGATTTAAGTTCACAGTAGATTATGACCAATAACTTCTTTTCTAAAAAGAGAAGAAACACTTGAGAATACTGGCTCAGTATCCGAGTTTAAATTTCCTTTATGTTGACTCATTTTGATGAACTTGAAAGAAGATATTGTGTCAACCAATGCTCTACCACTAAGCTATGGCCTAGTGGTCATCAAAGCAGCTACCGCTCAACACTTTCTTTTGCCTTCGAAACACTCTCTTCCTGTGATTTCACACAGGCAGTCGATACGCAGTTACCCGGTAAATCACACACGCTAGTCTTTAGCACAATGTAGCACGCGTGGAGGCCCAACACACACAGAATTCATTTATTCGCAGACAATATGTTAATGGGGAAGGGTCTGAAGAAAACGTCGACTGTCATCACGAGGACTCTGATTCCCGGAGATGCTTTGATATCTCAGTATGTAAAGGATATCTTTCTCTACTGAATGAAACCGATGCGAGGTAGAGAAGCTTTCTACTAGAGTCACAGCAGGATGCACTGCCTGCGAGCTGAATATGCTACACAGATGGAGTATGTTAAATACATACATATTTTTATGCCTCCAATATTGGGTCAAACTGAGATTGTCGAAGCTCTGGGTTTCTTTATCTAGCATGAATTTCATACGCAATACTGTGAAATCATAAGATAGGCAAAAATGGGCATTATAACTACCATGTGCCAAGGAACGAGACTTGTTCCATTGCTCTTTCCTCAGTTAATTAGAACTCTTCAGTCACAAGAAAGACGTTGTATTTCTCGCCGGCCGAGCGCAGCGAGATAGGCGAGAAATGATTTCTCGCGAAATATTTTTCAGTTGCAAATATGGCATCTGGTGTGTTCTTTGTTGTCGCTTCTTTTCCTGACTTCTTCAGTCAGTTTTGAGTCTCACCAGTGTCCCTGCCCTCCCACCCTTTATTTCTGTGCATATTATCAATGCTTTTTATCACTGTTTGCCTTGATGTGCTTGCCATGCCTACATGATGCCTAATCGCCATTGGGGATATACACCCGGTTTTTTCCCTCACAAATGCGTCCGTCGGCGCGAGGGTTTTTTCCCGGCTGGCTCGGTCCAGAAAAATTAATCTGACGGTCCCAAGTGGTTCTGCATCATGGCCTATTTCTGCTATCCACTGGCACGACTATTCTTTCTGAGACACTCTGTTCTCAGTCCTTGCTTGCTTCCATACCTCACTCGTTATCCGGTTCACATCTGGCTGCGGCCAACTACCCTTCACTTTGTGTGTTGTCGCTATTGCTGTCTATGTCTCTGTGTATGCCAGTATATGTGGAGCGAGAAAGCAGATGACACGATACATTTCTATGGGAACTGATCATCCCTTCCGTATAATTGGGCTTATCTCATTCCCTGAACAAATACTGTTTATGACTACATTTGGAGTCATAATGCTGTGTCTGTGCTGACACTAAAGATATTCCCTGCAATTTCAATCGAAGAAAGGTAAAAGAGAACCTCCTCTGCATTCCTGAATTTCGATCATTCGAGTCACAGTATGTTTGCGTGTTTGTGGAACCGTGTATCTGAGTGTCTTTTTGAGTTGGGTGTCTGAGTGTGTGGATGGGTGTGCGTGAGTGTGTATGTGTGTGTTTCGGCGCGTGCGCTCATGATGTAAAAAGATTATAATGTGTCAGCTAAAAGTAAGGTTAAAGAAATAGATATCAACTTAAAGACGTGACAAATTAGCAGATTGTTTATGCACATATTCGGGGAACACAGTTGCTACTGATCACAATACTTACCTCCTAGGACAAAATGTTCCTGCTCTTTGGATTATTGGTATTGAAATCGGATACTTTGACCTGCATGCATTAGAATTGCGCTTGGAAGGATTGTTGAAGTAAGCGAATCATGGATGATCTTGAGTCGACTTCGGACGGGAGTGCCGACTCTGCTGCACTCCCACAACTTCCACCTTTACTGATATGGACCAGCAGAAGGTCAATTGTGTGTCCTCCACCGCCGAACACACCAACTTTGGGTACACTTTATACAGCTCATCACCACGTACACGCCGTTGGTGGGAATCAAGTAGCGACCTCAGAGCCGTCCTTTGCTTGTTATGCAATTCAGCATACCTCATTCAGTCCTTGGAACGTACAATCAGTTACCACCAATTTACCGCTAGATTATCCACCGCCGGACCTGACAGACCGCGTCAGGGACTCTCGACTAGAGTGCCGAAAGACGGAAGATACAAACCCTACTGAGCTTTCAGCAACAGCTGTCGAAAACACATGCTCGATTCCCATGACATCGGCAATGGAAATTGAACAAAGATCGCGAGACAGCGATAACCAAACTGTGAACTATCCAATCTCAGTTTTAGATCACTACACAGGACACGGGACCGTAGAGTATGACTCGGAAGAAGACAACTACTCAAGCACGTCTTCCGAAGTAGACCTTCAAAAGATCGGACATGTTCCAGTATATCACCGACTGCCTAGCGTATCTGAGGATGGCAAACATCATGATCATCAAAAGCTCAAGAAACAGCATACATCGGAGACGTTTTCCGCTGAAGACACTCAACTTCTAGCTGATATTCCTCAAGACCCGGAGTCCCTCAGCACTGGAACCGGGGTGTCACGTGATCGCCAGCAGGATATGCGTGATCGTGCACATTCACAATCTGGAGAAGAGCCTCCTAATTGTAGGCACTGCGATAAATCATGTTCAACTGTATCCCGTCTAACATCTCATGAATTTGTACATCCAGAAAAGAAAACTTTCAAATGTAAAGTGTGTGATAAAACCTTCCGTACGCGATGGCGTCTTGTTCGTCATGGACGAGTTCACTCAGGAGAAAAACCCTTCGCGTGTAAGTACTGCGCTAAATCGTTCAGTGAAAAATCAAGCTGTACTGTTCATGAACGCATCCATACCGGGAAGAAACCATTTTTAAAGTGTGATCATTGTGACCAAGGGTTTTGCGACAGTTCTAAACTTAGACGTCATAAACGCATACATACTGGAGAGAAGCCATTCAAGTGTAAAGTATGTGGAAAGTCTTTCTCTTGGAAATCCAGTTTAACAGCACATGAAAGAATTCATCCCTGATAGAAAATGATCAAGGATTGTCCAGAGTCTTTTAATTAAAAAAACACTTAGAAGACCATGCAAACACTAAAACAATGATACAACACTCTTCTTTTCAAGATAATAGAAGATATAATATTATAGATCCGTTTTTAAATGCAAGATGCCCTATCTGAATTCCATGCAAAAGTCTCCGATTAAATGCTGACTTATACATTAGAAGCATCACAAACATTCTCATTGTCATTGTGTTAATGGTGTACTAGCTGTGCTAGTACTTGTTAGCAACAATCCGAACTAGCGCACACACTGCACTGCATTGCTTTGTACTGCATTCAAGACTGACGTCATGCGCTTTGTTTTGCTGCGTAATCACAAAAGGCACCAGCCCATTTTGCGGAAAAGAAAAACAAATCTTGCTTGCCCTGTTGTGCTCTTCCAGACAACGGATCGTGCTTCAGCAGTGTTTCTTTTCCTTTCGTAGCTTTTCTGCCAGCCCGAGTGTCACCTCGACACTGTATTTCTTCAGTACGTCTGACCTAACTGTCGACACTGTCAAGGCAATGCCTTGCCAAGCCCCCGCGGCGAGCCTTCTCAGCGCGGCTTGAATCCGAAAGGAAACTTAGTAAAAGTATTTTACAGGACCGTTTGCTGGCACAACTAGCCCTTGGTAGTGAGGTCTGCTCCGGCCAGGAGAACCAGCAACATGACAGTGCGGACACGGCTCGCGAGCCCAGAAGCCCGACTTGCACCAATGCCTCCTCCGCCAGCTCAGGTGACGCGGGCTCAACGGATCTCTGCGCTCCCGTAGATCTACGTGACGAGGTGTAGTCGGCTTTGTCGGCCGCCATTTTATTATTATCGGATAGCATTGTGCCGCTCCTCACCCAAGCCAAGGCCAAGGCAATGCGGCTGCTGCCGCCACTACGCCAGGCCAAGCTCCTGTAACCCACCCGATCAGCCACTTGCACCAGCTGTGCCCAAGGCTGTGCAAGAACGTATCTTGCGAGGGGAGTTCGTAGATTTTTCAAGTTTGTTGCCTGAAATTCTTGCACACTTCCGGCCCAACATTCCGGCTGGTGCACAGCCCGAATAACGATAGCCAGCTAAATATCGTTGAGTCGGATGACCGTACGCGAAGCAGGTGCGTCGCAAGGTTCACGATAATTATACATGTAGCTACCCGGCTCGAGGCATGGACCACATACATGTCTGTTATCACGGCTGCTGCCCTACACCGCACTGCTGAACTGCTGAACTGATTGCGTACCAGCAGTTGATCCTGACTGCTAACCGCCAGTTATTCCCAAGCGCGTGGCTAGAGTACGACCGCCAGCTGCGGCTGCTCGTGGCCCAGTAACCAGGCACGAAGAGGTTGGACACCATCGACGTGAACCTATGGCAGATAGCTGTCACAGGCCATGCACACCCAAAATGCGCTCAATGTAAGACGGCCCATCCAGGGGCGGTTTGTGTCCTTTTCGTCCCCAAGCCAGCAGCATTTACCTCCAGTGGTCGCAACCATACCAGCGACGGCCAAGAAATCTGCCGCAACTTCAATGAAGGTCGCTGTTCTTCGTCGTCGTGCCGCTTCTCCCACACCTCCAGCCAGTGTGGCAAGGACCACCCATGCATCATGTGCAACCAGCAGCAGCGCGGAGCCAATCGGCCACCCCGCCGCTCCTAGCAGAATGGCTACTGAATAGCTTGACTCGGTACGTAGCTTCTTTCCTATACACTCTGCAGACACCACACTGCTAGCTGACCACTTTGCCCGCCTGTTACGTAACCACTCATATCAATAATGTGTTGTGTATGTTCTCCATGGCCTGCGCCGCGGCTTTACTCTTGGATCTGCCGGCCAACACGACATTTCGGTTTTCTCTAATAATCTACCCTTGGCTTTCACTCACTCGGCATTTATATCCGAGCAATTAGCTGCTTCCTGCGCCCGCAGCGAGACCACAGGCCCATTTCCGTCACCTCCATTTCAGTTCATGCGCCGCTCTGGTATTGGTGCCATCCCCAAAAAGAACGGCAAGCTGCAAATGATCCACCATCTGTCTAGTCCGGAAGGCACCGGCGCGAACGACAGCATTCCTGCCGAGCCACTCTCTCTGCACTACGCGAGCATTGACAACGCGATCAACATCATCATGTCATGCCCACAGCCTGTGTATTTGTCCAAGCTCGATGTACGCAGTGCATTTCGGCAGATCCCAGTCCGCCGTCAGGACTTCGCTGGGAAGGCTCCTACTACTACGAGCGCTTTCTGCCTTTCGGCCTCCGCTCCAGCCCAGCCGTCTTTGACTCAGTAGCCACAGCAGTCAACTTCATCATGCAGCACGAGTTTGCTATAGATCACCGGCTTCATTACCTCGATGACTTTCTCGATATCTCCACTGGTTCGGCTGCAGCCAACCAGCAACTCACCATCCCCCTCCGGGCATTCACGTATCTCGGCACTCCTCTTTCCTCCATCCCAGCTCGAAGGGCCATCACCATCATTGACCTTCCTTGGTATTTTCCTAGACTGCGGCTACCAGAGGACAAGCTGTCCGAGATCCGTGCGCCACTCATGGCTACTATCAGCGAGCGCAGCATCGGCCAGCGTCAACTCGAGTCCCTCCTGGGGAAGCTCACTTTTGCTGCCCGAGTCATCGTTCCTGGACACACATTCATGCGTGAACTATGATCAGCGTGCCTTGAACTGTATCTGTGTATGCGAGTGCGGTGCATAAAGCCCACCTTGAGAATGGGTTTGCCGGCCCCTTAGTAGATGCGTGGCTTCTGGAGAGGGTATTGAAGGGCATCCAGCGATGCCATGGTACGGCTGTACTCACCCCTCGCCTTCCTATAACTATGCCAATCCTACGACACCTGACGGATACACGCCGGAAAAGTAGTATCCTGAATGGCCATGACAAGCTGCTCTACCAAGCCGCCATGCTGCTTCTTTGGATTTCTTCGGTGTGCTGAATTCACTAATGGCATCACACGGGGCTGTACTAGCTCCCCTGGTGACGGACGCCTGCAACTCTTCCTGCTGTCATCCAAGACGGACCCATTCGGTAAAGGCATTACTAGTGACATTGGCCCGTCTGTACCGCCGTACTGCCCGGTCCGTGCCATTGTTAGCTACCCATTTGTCACTCGTCGCGAGGGACCAGAGCAACTCTTGTTCGTACTCTCGAAGAGACAGCAGCTGACCAGGCAGTCATTCACAGTAACAGTATGGTCTCTTGTCGCTGCGGCCGGTGTACCATCCCAGTCGAACTACTCCGGGCATTCGGTCCACATTGGTGCAGCCACCACCGCTGCTATGGCTAGTGCCCCGACTCCTTCTTCCGAGTGGTAGGTCAGTGAAAAGAGCGATGCGTGTCTATGCTACATCCGGACTACAACAAGCGCTAAGCGCCAGCTATCGTCCCGGCTTGCTGCCGTGCCATGGATGCCATGATCCCCAACTCGGGTGAGTAATGAGCTACTGAACTCTAGCTGCGCAATGCTTGCCTGTGCTGACATATTGACCCTTGCTGTGCGTCAATAGTGCTTAGCTAACGGAGTGCTGGTTTCATGGGTCCACTCTCACAACTGGTGTTATCTAGCTATTTGCTGCGGCTCTGCCTTGCGCTATATTACATCCATTTAGCATTGCAGCTCTACGTTGAGCTAACAGCAGCTCTACTTTGAGCTAACAGCAGCTCTACTTTGAGCTAACAGCAGCTCTACTTTGAGCTAACCGCAGCTCTACTTTTAGCTAACAGCAGCTCTACTTTGAGCTAACCGCAGCTCTACTTTGAGCTAACCGCAGCTCTACTTTGAGCTAACCGCAGCTCTACTTTGAGCTAACAGCAGCTCTACTTTGAGCTAACAGCAGCTCTACCTTGAGCTAACAGCAGCTCTACTTTGAGCTAACAGCAGCTCTACTTTGAGCTAACAGCAGCTCTATTTTGAGCTAACCGCAGCTCTACTTTGAGCTAACAGCAGCTCTACTTTGAGCTAACAGCAGCTCTACTTTGAGCTAACCGGAGCTCTACTTTGAGCTAACAGCAGCTCTACTTTGAGCTAACAGCAGCTCTGCTCTGAGCTAACAGCAGCTCTGCTCTGAGCTAACAGCAGCTCTGCTCTGAGCTAACACCAGCTCTACTTTGAGCTTCAAACCAGTTGTTTCGAAACCAGCACTCCTCAATCCAAAGATGCCTCTTTGTTGACTTGTTTGTGTGAGGGATGGGGCTAATGGTGTACTAGCTGTGCTAGTACTTGTTAGCAACAATCCGAACTAGCGCACACACTGCACTTCATTGCTTTGTACTGCATTCAAGACTGACGTCATGCGCTTTGTTTTGCTGCGTAATCACAAAAGGCACCAGCCCATTTTGCGGAAAAGAAAAACAAATCTTGCTTGCCCTGTTGTGCTCTTCCAGACAACGGATCGTGCTTCAGCAGTGTTTCTTTTCCCACCATCCCTCCCTATCCAACTTATTCACACCATCATAATTATCGTACCCACTAATCGGGTCCACTCTCACAACTGGTGTTATCTAGCTATTTGCTGCGGCTCTGCCTTGCGCTATATTACATCCATTTAGCATTGCAGCTCTACGTTGAGCTAACAGCAGCTCTACTTTGAGCTAACAGCAGCTCTACTTTGAGCTAACAGCAGCTCTACTTTGAGCTAACCGCAGCTCTACTTTTAGCTAACAGCAGCTCTACTTTGAGCTAACCGCAGCTCTACTTTGAGCTAACCGCAGCTCTACTTTGAGCTAACCGCAGCTCTACTTTGAGCTAACAGCAGCTCTACTTTGAGCTAACAGCAGCTCTACCTTGAGCTAACAGCAGCTCTACTTTGAGCTAACAGCAGCTCTACTTTGAGCTAACAGCAGCTCTACTTTGAGCTAACCGCAGCTCTACTTTGAGCTAACAGCAGCTCTACTTTGTGCTAACAGCAGCTCTACTTTGAGCTAACCGGAACTCTACTTTGAGCTAACAGCAGCTCTACTTTGTGCTAACAGCAGCTCTGCTCTGAGCTAACAGCAGCTCTGCTCTGAGCTAACAGCAGCTCTGCTCTGAGCTAACACCAGCTCTACTTTGAGCTTCAAACCAGTTGTTTCGAAACCAGCACTCCTCAATCCAAAGATGCCTCTTTGTTGACTTGTTTGTGTGAGGGATGGGGCTAAAGTTGATATAATTATTGTACAGTTTCTACCCATTTTACTCAATTCACTTCTTACACGTATTTCCATATGCAATGTTCATACAAAAACTCAGTTTCGCTGAACAAGCGGCACATTTTTGAAAAAATCATTGCTCTTTCGTGTACTTTTTCGTAATCTTTTGCAAACATGCAGGGCTTGGCTTCTTCCCCGAGAAGAGACGCTGTGCTGTTTTGAAGTTCCCACATGTTCATATGTGTTGTACCTTTTTCCTGTATGTACCTTTAGTCCCCTTGGCACCGCACTATAGTCCTTTTCTAGTCCCGGTCTAAACTCTAAAAACGTTAATAAAATAACTCAATAATCATTTGCTTGAGGAGCTGCCATCTCGCCCTGCTGTGGACAATGACCTGCCGTTGGATATCGCATACGCGGACGATGTTGATTTTGTGAGCCGGGATGAGACGTTTCTCAGTGAAGTTGAACAACAAGCTCCAGCAGTTCTTGCGAGATGGAACCTGAACGTTAATCCCTCCAAGACAGAGCATACCACCGTCGCCCGATAGGAACCAAGAAACGTGGCGTACTGTCCGCAAACTAGGCTCCCTCCTGGGTGACGCCGAAGATGCTGCTCGGAGGCGTCAACTGGCCGCCGCCGCCTTCAACTCACTCCTCAAGATCTGGACCCGGAGGCGCCAGATCAGTGAAGGTCTTCGGCTGAGGCTCTACAGCGCCTACGTCATCCCAGTCCTTACCTACAACTGCGGCACTTGGGGCCTACCGATGTCGGAGCTCGCGCGAATGGATTCGTTCCACAGGACCCAGCTAAGGAGCATCATCGACATGCGGTACCCTAAACGAATTAGCAATGACACTCTGTATAAGCGCTGCGGAGCTGTCCCCATCAGCGAGACGATCACAAGGCAGCGCTACAGTCTCGCTGGCCATATCTTTCGTTTGGCCCCAACTGCTCCTCCACAGTTGGCAGTGGATATGTATCTTCGCCTGGCCAACGACGAGGGCACTAAACGCTTCAGGGGTCGACCTCGGACGACTTTGGTAACGGTCTTGCAGACGGAACTGTTATCATGGCATGGACTTACCCTCCACCAGCCGCTAGATGTTGACACAGTCCGCACAATGGCAGCGGACCGACAGGCATGGGGTGGAGCCCGCCCCACCTAACAGGACTGACCAGACATGTTGTATGCATATTCTATTTTATTTTATACTTTGGATGAAGTTTTCCATTAGTCATATTGGTGTTGTTGCTAACGGCTTTTGTTGACGTCACTTCTGTCATTTTATTGTATCGTATTACTCTTCAGACATCAATCCTGAATGGCATAAGCGAAAGTGGCACCCCCGCCACCTACGCGGACATGCTTTTAATAATAATAATAATTGAGGAAAAAAATGACTTACTGGCAGGACTCGAACCTGTGACAATCGCGTATGCCCAGCAAAAACTTTACCACTTGTGACCATCCAGGCGGTGACTGTTCCACGTTTTCCTTACACTTACAATCTCTCGCGTTCTGTGGATCCACACAAGCTGTGGGGATTCAAGGAACGTACATGACGTTTAAGTTTTTAATTGTAGCGGTTTTAGTTACTGCAAAACTCACGGTTTTCAGGGGCTCGGTGTCATTGGTTACCATTTAGCTCCACCAAAATTAACGAGGTATAAATAACCCACTATCACTGCTTAGAACTGGGCATTGTGCAACAGATTATGTAACAAAATACGTGCATTACCTATATCATTACGAGAGACGATATAAATAATGCCTCTATTCCTAGCAGGCACTTTGTGGGTAGATTCTAACTTTCATCTCCTCTTGTCACGTATGGCAACGCCACCTTGAAGGTGATGTTTCAGCTTGGGTGATGTCAAATCAAGCTGGAAGGCGAAGAGAACTATGGAAAGAGAGATAGCGTGTGTGTGTGTTTGTATGTGTGTTGGCGTGTGTGTGTGTGTGTGTGTGTGTGTGTGTGTGTGTGTGTGTGTGTATGAGGGTGTGTGGGTGTTTTTGTGTGGGTGAGTGTATGTGTGTTTGTTTGTGTGTGGGTGTATGTGGGTGTTTCTCCGCGCGTCAGCGCATGGTGTGAAAAGATCATAATGTGTCAGCTAAATATAAGGGCCTAGAAATAGACATCATGTTAAAGACTTGATCATTTAGCCGAATGTTCATGCACTTATTCGGGAAACACAGCTGCTGCTGATAACAATAATTACCTCCTAGGACGAATTGTTCCAGTTTTGTTGGATTATTGGTATTGAAGTCGGATACTTTTCCTTGCATGCCATGTTTTATTATTTCTATTATTATTATTATTATTTGAGGGATTCCCCAAAGACCGAAGCCTAAATCAAGGGGATGTGAAGTGCCCTCGTATGGATTGTTGAATTAAGTGAATCATGGACGATCGTCCATGATGTGAACCCTCTGGTTCTCTAGAATGTCAGGAACGAACGACCACACGGCACGAGGACAACTATTCACTCTTGACAGTATATTTCACTTCGATCGACTATAACAATGAACAATGAATAACTACCGAAACACTAAAACCATCCGGTAGTTATAGCGTGAAAATGACAGCGTATATGAGAAAAGCATACACATACAATATACAACTACAGCTCACGCAGGAAACCGCACGTAGCGCATGTAGCGTATGCCACATCGTAAACATGAGCGGTACGGCGGAGTCGGGATACTCCTGCATTGAAACGAACACAATGTCACAAGCGAGAAGGCCTTTCACTCTGAAGAACTTGTGGTTTCTCAACATTCTCCCCACCAAAGAGCTTCTAAACGCAGTACAACAACTCATAAGTCAAAGCAAATGGTGACATTCCCCACACACCTTACCCACCACGGCTCAACATCGTGTATTGACGTGGTGCTCACGGATCATCCTCACCTACTGCTCTTTGTTACATCTCTTGCACCTCTTGGTGCATCTGATCATGCACAGATCCTCAGTCACTTCCTAATGCCTACTGATGCTGTTTATCGTGAGGAATCTGCTGCAAATGGACATTCCGCTGCTGCTACCCGATACCACTTCAGGAATGTTCCTGCAAAGCCGGAATATGACTTTAAATCCGTGCCATCTTCCGTCTGGGATAGTGTGAATGCAGAGCTCGCTGATATTGACTGGAGCTGGCATCTACGTGCCAGCAACGTCAATGATGCGCTTTCGCACTTTTCTTTCATTCTCAACAGTGCCCTTGAGAAGCACCTCCGGCCATTCGGAAAGCAGCCGTATTCTCACCCCTGCCCACGGCCCAGTCAGCCACCCTGGGTTGATGCCTATCTCAGCACAGCAATCAAGTGGTACTATGATGTCTTTAGCATTTTTAAGAAGTGCCTAACACAACCAAACAATCAAACATACCAACAGCAGCGAAATATAGTGAAAACCCTGACGCGGAAAAAGTACAGAGCTTATATCCGCTCAGTGCAAACTACTTTGCAGGGTAGACACCGTCCAATTCTTCACCAGTTTGTGAGACAAGTAGGAATTCGAAACGTATCACGGGAAATTCCGTCACTCACCACAGGGACTCAGCAGGCGGCTGACCCTTTGGCCAAAGTTACCGCATTAAACGCCCAGTTTGCCTCTATGACTCGGCCAGATGACCCGTTGCTCTCTTCCCCCTATTTTCACCCCCTCGGAGCCCTCAGCTAGTTTCACGTCCGTCATCACCAAAACTGCCACTGTCCGGCGTCATCTGAAGAAGCTTCCGACGTGCAAGGCATCTGGTCCCGGCGGCATACCCAACCGGGTCCTCAAGGCCCTGGCACCATCCATCCCATCCCTTTGTTCCATATTTTCAACATGTCATTTACCACGGGCATATTCCCTTCCGCATGGAAAACAGCGAAAGTCATACCTGTACACAAGAAAGGTTCCCGCCACGAACATGCAAACTACCGCCCTATCTCTTTTCTTCTCTGCGTGTCCAAAGTATGTGAACTAGGGGTGAAAGTTGGCTCTGAGATCCCGAGTTCGAGTAGTCTGATTTTCTCCGATTGAACATTCGAGTATTCGAGTAATCTTCATTTCCTAAAAACTGCACACCAATGGCCTTACAATAACATGACACAACCCTGATTGAACCGAGTGGCAGTCACTTTTCTCGGATATATTGGTTGGTGGGTCATTTGGGCTCTCTCTACTCGTGAACAAATGCTCACCACAAAGTCTGCACATCAATATCTGCCGACTACTGCTCTGAAACTGCAGATTTCAGTGGTAAATGCATGTACCATGTATGAACGAGTACGTTTCTAATATTGACTGAGTACGAGATAAATATAGGAAATAAAAGCCGAGTAAAAGACCGAGGCGAGGCCGAGGTCTTTTACGAGGTTTTTATTTCCTATACTGACCAAGTACGAAGTCAATATTAGATTTATCACGACAAACAGTCCGTATTTCGAATTCCAGAACGATAACCTCATGAATCCCGGTTTTATGATTGCACAACCGTTGCACCACCACCTACTCATGCAGTGAAAATGCTGCACTAAGCACCGTTCAACTGCGCAACCCCTAAGCAGTCAAATATAAGCAGTCAATATAGCCCTAAGGAGTGAAATATGCAGGAATGTTTGACTGCTTAGGTATGGCCTAAATCTATGCGAGTCAATACTAAGGAAGTGATAATCGGATTTATTCCTAGTACAATTATTTTTGAAAAAACCGAGCGAGTACTCCAGTATTCGGTATAATTGTTTCACGCCTAATGTGAACGCATCTTTTATGATCACTTATGCAGACATGTTTCGCCGTTTCTGAGTCCCGCACAATCTGGGTTTCGTTAGGCCGCGGTCACACCGAGCTCGATTCAGCCGTTCAGCCGAAAAAAGCGCTTGTTTACGTCACTATTACCATGGAAATGGCTGAAAAATGTCCAACAAGCGACTTTCAGCCGTGGCTGACTCTCAGCCGTTTTTTCCGGCTTGTTTCAGCCACAGCTTGTACAAGCGGCTGAAAGCCGAAATTCAAAAAATAATTTGAGTGCGCTTGGAACACACCATGTAGCTAGTTGACATGATGAACTGATATTGATGTTCTTTCTTGTGTCTGTGGAACCGTGCTATGACTGCGCC